TAAACATTCCCTTTGAGAAATTCTACCAGGTTTGTCCGAATACCCCCAGAGTCGTGGTCGACCGTGGCTATCCTAGGAGCTACTCCGCTCGCGATGACGATGGCCTGGGTTCGATCCCCCCGGCCGGCCATTATGCGGGTCCCCGGCTTTGCTCGGCGACGTTTGCGTCCAGCTCCGTGCTTGAAAGCGAAACCCGGTCGGAACTACCTTGGAATCGTCGAATCCACCAGGTGGTACCAGAGGTCCATGGGATAATGGGATCTGCCGTAGAGTGTTCCTCTAAAATCTTAGAGGAAGACGAAGAAAGGTATCAGGGTTGTATCGTGCACTGCGCTCGCCCTGCTCCCTTGCGAAAGGACACTCGAGACGGAACCCAGCGTGGAAAGGTAATTCGAGGTACTTTGTGCAGATCACAAGCTTTTGAGAAGCGCTACGCTGTATTCGTCGAGAGGCGAAAGACTCCGATCACATCGAATAAGTGGGTACAACCCGGTTCGTCGTTCTCCCCTTGCTTCGCCATTCCGCGAAAGGTTGCGCCGCGAGTTCTCGCGTCCTTGAGCTCCGGGTCCACCGAACTCGACGCATTCATGGCCGTCTTTCCCCAAGATATTTGTGACCATGTTGCCAATTGCACCAATGCTCGCCTGCGAATTCTCGAAGAAAAGTCGGGGAAACAGGCTCTGAACACTGACCTCGGTGAGATCAAGATAGTTCTCGCTTGTTTCCTCATGATGGGCTTCAACAAAGTGCCCAAGATGAGGGACTATTGGGCCAAGGAGCCAAGGCTCGGGATTCCCGTTCTGAAGTCAGCCATGACGAGGGATCTACTTCGCGATCTACCCCGACCGGACATCTAAGAAAGGTTCGAATTAAGTTTTCCAGAATGTACTCCTTATGTCCGTAGGGAATGCCTCAATCCTTTACGAAGGTGTTCTGAAGAGGAAGATCCGATGCGAACGTTCATCATTCCCCTTGCGAAGCGACTACTCACAAGCGGGCGACAAACAGGGCTCGTGAGCCGACCCATTCCTGTCGCTCCAGCTATAGGTGGATAGCTTTCGATTCCAGACCTTAGCTCTCACATCTCGATAGATGGGGCCACACGCCGGCGCTGCGTCCTTTGCGCGAAAATTAAGAAACAAACTAGGACGAAGAAAATCTGCCATAAGTGCCGGAGAGCATTCTGTCCTAGTTGCTTCACTAAATATCATTCTCGTTGAAATACCGCTCATTTCGTGCCCTCTACCCAGAGACATTAGTCTCGAAGACCCTGCTAAGTGCTACTGCTAGATTCACTGATGTGTGTGATCAAGAATCCGCTATTCAATAAATTCTCCTCCGCCCAGGGGGGCAAGCCCACGATCATATCGGGCGTCAAGAATGTGTGATTCTTCTTCGATCGACGAATCCTCCGTAGTCGAACAGAACGCTCTTCCAACACAAGACGATCCCGAAGATAAACACTGAACGTCATAGCGATCCCAGTACGCATGCGATACGAGAAAGGAATCCGTTGATTTTTAGCATCTACACTCCGAAGATTCTCGGAACATAGGTGTCCGAGGCTCGGTTCCAAAAGTTTAAGGCGGAACTCTTCTCTAGGGTTCGTTGGGCTATCTCTGCCGGGATAAGCTGATCCCTATTTCCTTACTCTCCAAGTTAGACCAAGAAATCGACCCGCTTCGTCATCTATGTCCAATCATTCTGGACTTGCTTCAGACAGTTCCTGTGATGGTGCCTCGTCGTCTCGTATCCAATGCGAGAGGTGAAGAGCGTCGGGGACCGCTTCAATGATCTACATCTCGGATCCCGTGTCCGCCACGTGAGACCTCATTCCAGTCGGTGGGGTCGACCTACGCTCTGCAGATCCAGTTCGGGTCGAGCGATAATGTCTGAAAGGGATTCCTCTAGTGTGAGTTGACATACATGAGATACATGTCCGAATGAATGGGCGATTCATCGACTCCGGGGAGGGAACGCTCTGAGAATCACGGACTAAACGCAATTTTTCCTCCGACCAGTCCAGCAGTACTGCGGGGGAGGGCTCGCTGTGTATCAAGAAGGGAGGTCTCTTCCTCGTGTTGTTCATGGTTCTGATATTCGTCGCCTACCCTGTTGCGCTAATTTTCGTAGATTTGTACGTGGTCTTGCTGCCTTTCAAAGCCTGTTGCCCCTCTTCTTGTTATCGCGTCATCGACTCGATCGAGCGAATAGTAATGCTGCCGAGGTACATTGCAAGAAAGATGGCGAGAGCCGACTCGTGTTAGTGAACATAAATTACTACTCATCATCTGCATAGATGAGATGTATTTTCCGTTGAACTCGTCTCTCAATTGAGGAATTGATCGTCTAGCGTTTGGTTTTGGACGTATGGTTTTGAGCACAAGATTTGCCTCCCTGGGAGCCCCTAGGAGTGAGGCGAGGGTTTCGAGGGAGCTATTCGAGGGAGGATGGTAATTTTCTGAACTAGGTACTCGGATTTTCTCAGCCAGGCACATTTTGGAAGGGAGGCAAAAATCGATGTGATTCCAGTCTCGGTCCTACCAGAAAGTGCTTCTAAGCAGCTCGAGGGGCATTCAGATTTGTGGGTGAAGGACGCTGTGTCCGCTACCCGGGCCCCGTGATCTCTTACCGCGGCATGCTCCCCGAGCATTGCTGTCGAAGTCTGGTATTCCAGATCATGGGCTTGCTTTATCAGTTATCAGGTAATGATATCCCGTGAGAATCGAAAAGCTTGCCATGGAAAAGACCGAGCTCAAGTATTCCAGAATTCGTGACGGAGTTTGACGACGGCTCGATCTTCGAGCCCGGAGAATGTTGAGAATGGCCGCGGAAGAGGGCTCGGCGGTTCATCGAGGGATTTCCTCTCGAGCGGTTGCGACTTCTTGGAAGTCGGGGATGGGTTCGAAATCCCTGGCTTTCTTGATTGAAATCTCAACACTTCGATGAGCGTCTTCCCTCGAAAGGGTCGGAAATTCCCGGGTACTAAAAGCGGCTGACTCAAGCGAGAGGAGTCCCGCTGGACAGGGGGATGCCATCGACAGCTCCTGTGAAGCTCGTCGGACACACACACGACGTCCTCCGACAGTCGATAGCAGCATTCCGGCGAACTATTTATTCCGCCGGAGCTGAGCGAATGAATCGTTCGTCTCGTTCCATTATTCGCGCTCAAAGGAGAGCCGAGATCCCCTGGGGGGCTGTGCCCTCCATCCGAGGTAAACAACGTTGTTACAAATCTCATTCGGACTATGACAATCCACGATTGTCGACGTTCCGGGTGAGCTCCAATAATGAAGATCAGCACAATAGTCTCCAATCTCTGCTGCGGTTTCGCGTGGTTCTTGGGTCTCTTGTTCGTGGCTTATCCCTTCGCTCTGATTATGAGCTTCCCGTATACAATTGTACAGGTTTTCGCAGTGAGTCCCGTGAACCATCCACATTTGAGACTGGAGCTTCGAATAGGACGAGGAGAACCGGGAGTCAGTGCGCGATAAACCCCTCTTCCCTTTTCAGGAAACCGGGCCTGACTTTTGCAAGCCATTTGTAGAATTTCTGAGACAGTGTATTCAGGTTCCCTTGTGGTTTGCAGTGAAAATGGTTTCATATTGGCTTTGTCTGAATTTCACGGGTTGTTGACGCTCCCAGTGCCTCGAGACTCTCGATCGGGAATCACGACCCCATGTCCCTATATGCTGTACAATATAAATCCTGAAGACACCCATCTCGACCTCACGTCGTCAGCTTGGAAAACTCACAAAGGAGCTTGGCTCCGCTGTCTTGTGATGATGAGTTCTTCGAACGCTTATCTTCAAATGCTTACGCCTAGTTCCCGGGGAGTGAGACATGAAACCGCTCCCTTCTCGTTCCAATTCCGCCGCGTGCGGACGTGTTCACGAGGCCCTCCGTGCGAACTTTGCTGCGGGCGTGCAGCTAACTAAGTTCTGCTCACCGAACGCACCACTCTCAAGTCTTCGAACCGGTTGAGTTCCTTCCGGCTTCTGGCCTCTACTATCCCACTTCCGCGGGTCTCTTCCTATTTTCCAAGTTTCTCCGCGCGCATCCGTCGTGCGGCACGCGAAGTCTCCCCTCAGCGGGAGGACTTTAGGCGGGCGCAGCACCGTCAGGGACTGTCCGATGGACGCGGATAATGACGATCCCAGAAAGGCCTTCCGCGGCTCGGGTCTCCCGAGGAGCCCTCCGAACCCGAACCCTTCGGCCTCTGGTGGCCTCCCTCAGGACACCTCGGAGGCACCGAGTGGTTCCGGAGCTCCGCCTGAACCGATTGATGTCGATCTTGATTCCGATCAGGAAGACGGAGATGGCGAATGGCAGCGTAAGGGCCCCAGGAAACGCAAGGAGATCTCTCCGGAGATAGCTACGGCTCAGCCGAAACGCCTGCAGGCTACTAGTCAGCGCGCTGCGAAAAGCACCGAGATGCCTCCAATACCCGGCTACAGGGGCGGCGCTCCCGACTCACCCTTCGAGGTCTCTGATCTCGGGAACCTCCTTGAGCTGGCTGCAACCCTCACGAAGACGATCGACCTCGTCCCTAACACGCAGGTGCACATCAAGACGGTCTCGGCCATCCTTGTGTGTGCCATCAGGACCCTGCGGGTGCGGGCGGAAAGGCATGGCTTCCCCCCCATCCGGTGTCTCTCGCGGCCCGCCCCGTCTGTCCCACTTGCTCCCAGGCGAATCCCCCCAAGCCCCGGCTCCTTACGGGAGAAGACATCGATTCCGAGCTCCTCGCTGACTACGCCGACCACTCGGACCTCCTCCGGAGAGAGTGGTCGGATTCTGCTTACAGGACAACTGTGATCAACGGTTCTAGCGTGCTTGGGGTCACCGGGAGGGCACGCGCGGTCCTTCTGGCCCTAGCGGACGAAAAGGATGCAAGGATAATGGAACATCTCGGGACCTAGTCGGAGGCGCTACGACTGGAGTCGATCCGTGATCATCTCGAGGCCGGTGAGCCGGTCTGCCTCCGCGGTCGAACCACGATGAAGGTCAATGGCACTGAGTCCATGGTCGAGACCCCTCCTCTCTTGGTCATGACCCTCCCGAACCTACCAGCCACTCCCGACGACAACGATCTGCTGGCCTCTGCGTCGAACTTCGCGGCGGCCCTGGCCCGAGAGGGACTTCATCAGGTATCCGTGGCCTTCTCCTCACGCTTTGAAATCAAGCGCTTCAGGAAGGCCCTCGAGATCTCTACACGCCATTCCCCCGCAACAGCTATCACCATCTGTGGCAAAGGCAACAAACCGTCGGGAACGAAGTCGAGAACCCCCAGGACCATGGTGGTAACGGTGCACCCAGGCCGGATGTCCTATGCTGACGCGCTCGGCGCCATGCAGGCATCGGTGAGCCCGTCGGAGCAGGGCGTTCAGGTGAAGAAAGTTTTTAGGACTCAGAACGGGCAGATTGGCGTTCGGCTGGGGACAGACGACCAGACGGTCGCCGAGTCCTTTGCAGAGGCTATCGCCAAGGGCACGAACCTCGTCACCAGGGCAGCGCCTCCTCCTCAGGCCGGAAACGAGAAGGCTATCATCGTCAGGGATATTGGCGGCACTCTCTCACCGGAGGGGCTCGCTAGAGCGCTCGCGATCGAGGGAGTTGCGGACGCGACGTCGATCCGCCTCTCCGCCTTCAAGCCAACGAGAGCAGGCGACCACTCCTGCGTCGCTCGGATGCCGACGAAGCTGGCGAATATCCATCTCCGGAATGGTTCGATCCAGATAGGCTGGTCCAGCTGCAGGCTGGGGGAGATGGTAGAGGTTCAGCAGTGCCGCAACTGTCTTAGCTTCGATCACTCGACGACTGCCTGCAGGGAACCCATCTCCGAATCGCCTCCCTGCTTGAAATGCGGAGACAAGGGCCACCTAGCTAAGAGCTGCAAATCGCCCCCGATTTGCTACACCTGCGCTGCCGGAAACTCCAGTCTCCCGATCGATCATTTCGCCAACTCGACGGCGTGCCCGTCATACAGGGAGCGAGTGTTTGCTCTCCGAAGGGCTGACCGGAAAAATGATTAGCTTCTTGCAAATTAACCTCAATACCTCCCCGAGAGCTTTCGATCTCGCCCTACAAAATGCGAGTTCGTCTGCCTTCGGTCCTGTGGACGTCATTCTCCTATCCGAACCCCCGACCTCTTCCTTACCCACGGCAACGGCCAAAAGCCTGCACTCGTATGCCAGCATACATGTTCTCAACCCAGGGCTCGAGGTCGCCATTCTGGAGTCTTCTGGCTCCTTTGCGGCGATCAGAGCTAACGGAACGACAGTTATTTCGGTATATATTTCGCCCAATTCCTCCCTCGAACAGTACGAAGATTTCCTCCTCGAACTAGATCTCTTCCTAGTCTCAAACCGTCCCCGATTCTTCCTCATCGCGGGCGATTTCAACGCACACCACGTCGCCTGGGGCTCTCGTTCCTCCTCACCAAAGGGAAACGCTCTCCTTACTTCCATCAACTCCATCGATGCAACCGTGGCCAACCACCCGGGACATACCTTCGAAAGAGCAGGTTACTCCTCCGTCCTCGACCTCACGATCGTCTCGGCAGCCTCCGCGAGTCTCCTCTCACGCTGGTCCATACGGAGTGAGGACGAGTTCCTCTCGGATCATCTGTACATAACCTTTGCTATCGCTATTAGGTACTCTAACCCCTCTGGAGAACCAACCTCGTCTCGCCCCCGGGGGAAACTTAATCTCAAGAAGTTCTACGAAATCCTCGAAGAACAGATCCCGCATTTGCCGGACTTTTCCCCGGAAATAGTGGACCCCCTCATCAACGTCGCCTGCTCTAGGGCGAGTCCCCCGCTCCATCATAAAGTTGCACACCATAATCCCAGATACTGGTGGTGTGACGAAACGGCCTCGGCCAGGAGAGGCTGCATCACCGCCCGGCGTGCTCTCACCCGGGCCCGGCCCTCGGCCCCTCCAGCCCTCGTCGCAGCCCTCGAGGCGGACCTCAAGACATCTAGATCCTCGCTCCGCCGGGCGATCGCTGCCAGCAAGTCGAGGTGCTGGAACCATCTTCTCGAACAACTCAATGAGGGAACCCATCCCTTCGGGAAAGCGTATAAGATAGTTACGAACAAGCTCCGCCGCCCCCAGGGAATCCTCGAACCCGAGGCCGCTCGGAGAGTCGTCGGGGACCTCTTCCCTTTTCGACCCCCTCCACTTCCGCCCACCTTCTCACCGGACGAGACCTTCGATTTCCCTCCTGTGTCGAAGCGCGAGATCGAACTCGTCAGGACCGGATTCGACTCCGCAAGGCGCCAGGCCAAGACGGAATTCCAGCAGAGGCCATCAAGGGCTTCATCACCAAACATCCGGAGGTCTTCAGGGGCATGATGGAATCGATTTTCAGAACTGGGAGCTGGCCTTCCGCCTGGAAGCTTGCTAGATTGGTTCTCATCCCGAAGCCGGGTTCGTCATCCTTCCGTCCGATTAGCTGCCTCCCAGGCCTCTCCAAAGCCGCGGAGCACCTTCTTCTCCTCCGTCTGACAGCCGAGCTGGAGGATAGAACTTGGCTATCCCCTCACCAGCACGGTTTCAGGAGCCAACACTCCACATCCGACGCTATCAGATACGCGCTGCGTTTCGCAGAGACCGAACGAGCGAAACCGCTCCGAACCCGAGCCCACACCGTCGGAGTACTTTTAGACGTGAAGAACGCCTTCAACACGATATCCTGGGACTCAATCAACTCCTGCCTCGAGCGCGCGAATGTCTCGGCGTATCTTAGACGATGCCTCGCGAGCTATCTCTCATGTCGACAAAACCTTCATCAGGGCGTGGTTTCCACGGTCACCGCCGGAGTGCCCCAAGGGTCCATCCTTGGGCCTACTCTCTGGAACGTTGCGTATGACGAGGTACTCAGGCTGGATCATCCGCCCTCGATCAGGTCCGTCGCGTATGCGGACGACTTACTGATACTTATTGCACAGAGGGATCCCGAACTTCTGGAGCTCGAGTTGAACTGTGCGCTTGCGCAGATCAGCACTTGGATGCGTAGACACGGCCTCACCATGGCCCCCCAGAAATCCATCGCGATTTTCCTCAACGGCCGCAAACACCTTCCACAGGTCGAGCTCGACATTCGTCTCGACGGGCACCCAGTCCGTTTTGAGCGAAGTGTTAAATACCTCGGTATGGTGCTGGACACCGGTCTGACAGGTACAGCTCACATCAGATACGTCTCCCAGAAGGCCCTCAAGGCCGCGTCGGCTATCTCGCGCCTCATGCCGAGGTGCAGAGGAGTCAGCCACCACCGTCGGAAGGTTCTCAGCTCGGCTGTTGATAGCATCCTTCTCTATGCAGCCCCTATTTGGGCGAAATGCCTGGAGAGGAAGACCATTAGAAGACTCCTAGATGCGGCTCAACGCCCCCTGGCGATCAGGATCGCGAGGGTGAACCGCACGGTTTCCACCGTAGCGACTCAACTCATCGCAGGCATTCTGCCCTACGACCTCCGAGTTAGAATCCTGCTCTCTCGCGAGGAGCGCGAATCGGCCGGATTGGGAGGGGAAGAACGAGAGATTTTCACTCGGGAGAGTGCCATCCAGGTTTGGAGGGCCCGCCTCGAATCCATCCGTCCTCTCCAGCCGGGTTTCTACACCTCCAGGATCATAACGGACGTCGAGGGTTGGGTCGAGCGGAAGTTTGGCGGACTCACTTACGCTCTATCGCAGCTCCTTTCCGGCCATGGGTCTTTCGGAGAGTACCTGTACCGGATCGGCAAGACGGACTCCCCCTCATGTACGCTGTGCCACAGCGGTCCCATCGACGACGTGTGCCACACCTTCGAGGTGTGCGCTGATCTTGGGCCCATCCGGGCAGAATTCAGGAGGAACTCCTCCTACACTGGACCCGTCGAATGCGGCAGACTCGTCCGCTACATGCTTCATGGGAGGGACGAATGGAGACACGTAGCCAGTCTTTGCAGAGACAGTCATAGGGTACAAGGATCAATGCAGGCGAGCAGCGCTCCGAAGAGCTGCCATCTCCGCTGCCGACCAGCCTCCAGTAGCTCACGGGCCTGAGCCTCCTCTAGTCAGACCGGACCTTCCTAGCTCTAACACTATACGAGCCTAGCTCAAAGGCGGAGTCCCCTGAAGTAATGGCGACCACGCCGGTCCCAGGTGCTCCCCCCGGAAAATCAACT